AACTTTTACAAGCATTTTCAAGCGCAACACGCAAAATTTTTTGGCAATAATTTAAAATTGGAATACGACCGCATAAACAACCAGGCATCCCTAGAGCTGCATATTGCGAAAATTTTTGTTTCTGACGGAATGATTCAGCATACACATGATACAGGTCGGGCAGCATATTTCTGAACTGTAAACCAGATGAGACACCCCAACCCCCCTCTGTCGCTCCCTCACTCCCCTTCCCTCGCTGTAGTTGCCAGATTTCATCTTTCACATAAACTCTAGAAACTAGAGTTAATGTGAAAGATGAAATCTGGCAACTACAGCGAGAGAAGGGGAGGGAGGAATGATTCATATCATAACCAGTCAGGCAGTCAGTAGCACTGCAGTTAAGGAGCTAGTTTCTTGTTATTACTAATATTATGGATCGTTTTGTGATGAGGAGGAAGAAGGAGGAGTCTGTGGGCGGCAGCAGTAATCCTGCCGCTGCCGACCAGGACATGGAAGTTGAAGTGACAGACTGTTGACAGCCTGTCCACTGAGACTGAGGCCAGTGACAGTGAGGCATTTTTTTTGTAATTTTGTAATAAAATATTGATATTAACTTTTTTGTATCAATTATACAGTATTTTGATATACAGTGGGGTATGCTATAACGAATCTAATTGGTTCTAGAACCTTGTTCGTTATAGCATTCGTTCGTTATAGGATTAATCCGTTCCAGGCCCCCAAATACAACCACCTAACACTGAAAAATATAATATAAAATTGTAAAAATTGTAAAAAAGTGCATAAATATGCATCTAAACCCCTGAAATAAAGAATATCATTAATATTTGTAATAAAAAAACAATAAATTAGAAAAAAAAAAAATTAAATAATGTTCGTTGTAGGAGTTTCGTTCGTTATAGCATTCTCAATTTTATAGGTAAAACCGTTCGTTATAGGAATATTCGTAGTAGGATCCATTCGTTATAGCATACCCCACTGTACTTGTATATAGGCAAATTTTTTTGTTTTATCATTTGTTTATTTATTTATTTTGTTTTTAAGTTGCGCGTCGAGGTTTCGCTTGCGGCGCAACTTTTTGAAAAGTTGTGGTTGTGGCGCAACAATTTCAGCAGAATTGCGGTTGCGGCGCTAAAAAAAAGTTGCGCGTGCCCACCTTTGAATTTCAGTTTCACTAACAATTGGTTTTTAATCAGAAATCTAAGTTTCCCCATGGTATTCAGTGTATTTCATTCAAATTTGACCTTCATTTCCATCCCCCAGACCCCCTGCCACATTAAACAGTAAATATTTATTTTGATATCTGGTACCAATGAAAGGAACTTTGCATAAGCATTATGGTGTAATTTTAAATTTTTTTGTGGACATACGCCCAGACCAAGCAAGTCAGTTGTAAATAAGCAGACGACATGCGGTGACTGCAGATTTACATGAATTTACCATCTCGGTTATTATCCATTTGCGACGGAAGTGGTATTAGAAAAAGGTGTTGCAATTGACAAGATATAACTTCTGTGAACCCAAATTTTTTTTAACGCAATTGGGAGCGAAACTGCAAAAATACCGATCTTCTTCTTTTCCTGTTATTTGCCATAAGAGAAAGAGTACATGTGTTTCTAGGACCACTGAATGTTCTTCAAGAACAATGTATTTAACAAACTTGTCCTAAACAGACTGCGAGTCATTATCTAAACAAATTCAAACCTACTTTAAAAAATGTCATTTGCATAGTTTTGAGAAGTCTCTAGCCAAGTCAAACAAAAACGAAAGTGAAACTTGATCAAAAGACTAAACAAAGAGAATTTAAACCTGGAGATGAAGTCCTTTTATATTTACCTATCCTATGGGAGGGTGAAGCTGGTCAACCAGCAAATTCTTTGATGGGTCCTCCTTCCTCAGTGCTCAGAAAATTCACCCAATTCTATAAATTAATGAACTGATGTTGAATCATTACTTTAAGCACACAGTCTGGAACACCAAATAACATTGACTTTGCTTAATAGGTCACTAGGTACTGATGGGCGAAAGTAAATTCCTACACCCTCATTCACTTAGGTTTCCTAAGGAGTGCTGTAGCCAGTAATTTTGGGTAGGGACGACTGTTAGCTTGGGTTACATATGTGTATATGCAACACTATAATTGGGGAAAGCTACATCATTCCTGAATAAGTAGTTCCTGTTTGTATCAGAACTTTACAATTTGTTAGGATTTTTGCCACAAACTTATTAGGTAAAAGTGAGTTGCCCTGTATTAAGTTCCTTGTGAATGAAATGGACAATCCAATAGGATGCTTTCCAACAATTCGAGTTCACTAAACGTTAGTGAAAATTGAGATGGGAGGTTCAGCAGAAAGCTTCTGAGAATTCCAAGACATGTTGTATTACAGAATGTAACTTAATATGGATTATCTGGTCGAAAATGGCAATACAGGTACTCCTCGACTTACGACATACTCGACTTACGACAACCCGGACATACGACCGCCGTAGTCATAAAATATTTATGAAATTCATATTTTGTAATACCGACGTTAGTGATCGCGCTGTGTACTGACAAAATTTTCGTTTGTAATTCTCTTTAAAATGGCTGGTAAGCGTAAAAATGAGAGTTCTTGTGGTGCTGAGAAGAAAAAGAGACCCATTTTAGAATTTCTATATATTATTTTCGCCTTTTCGACTTAAGACCATTTCGACTTACGACCTGGTCGTCGGGACGGAATCCCGTCGTAAGTCGAAGAGACTGTATTGTACATTATCGTCACCAAGACCAGATGAATAAGTTCAGCAAAATTTTTCAGAAACAAAACACACTCATATATAATGTTAATTGTGAGTCTCATTACCCTAGTACCACTGTTTGAGCACACAATGTAAAGAGAGCACTTTATGGTATGAAATACAAGTTTAAGAACACACTAAAATACGAGTATGCACTATTGTAGCTAGAATTATTGGTACACAAGATCCTAACTCTATGTCTGAGAACATCCAGTTAACAGCAGTAATAACATCACATAATGTTATAATCTGACTTAATCCCATGGATTTGTATCAAAAAAATATATATTAAAGTGAATGAGGCTAAGTTTAGAAAATTTCAACAATGGGAAGTTTTGTTTACATTTGCTAGTTCACCCAAATTAATAAAGCTGAGTTAAGTTTATTCAAGATAAGAATGTTTAATTGAATGTTAAGTCATAGGTAGGGGTCGCCAAATTAATAATCTCCTCAAGAGGCCCCCAACTTAATGTTACATATTATTGACTGTCTAGGGGCTTTAGTGAAAGAAAGAAGTTTCTGCGGTCGGCAAATCATCTCAATCAACGCCATTAAAAGAACAGGTATGTATAACTCACAATGAAGCAAAGAATTAATTAGTTTTATTAACTTAGGAAAATCAAGTATGACTAGTATCAACTAAGGGGTAGAGAAATTTAAGGTTGAGTTTTGTATCAAATTATATTAACAAAATCTTATGGAAGAAAAAAAATAAAAGAAAATGAATACTGCTTTAACAAAATATAAATCCCGACACCAAAACATTTATGAAAGAAACACACAATGGTAACAAGCTAAATGACAAGATTATGGTAACCCAAGGAATAACCACACTTTGCTGTCAAGGCCGGCTGAACCTGTGAAAGGAAGTCTCTGTGCAAAACTAGGAAATGACTGACAAGAACTGGTGCATTTGGGGCAGAGGTAAGCTGTAGTAAGTAAACCTGCCACCAGGGATTTTCATTGTCTGAGGGCAGGTTGAACTATTTGGCGCCGCTCGTGAACTAGTGTGTGGTCATTACTAACTATCAGCCAGCTCAAGGTGGAAAGCGCGCACGCACGCCACGCCGCCTGCGGCACACACACACACACACACACACACACACACACACACACACACACACACACACACACACACACACACACACACACACACACACACACACACACACACACACACACACACACACACACACACAGAGAGAGAGAGAGAGCTATATGTATGTATACACGAACGGGTTAATTCCATAATTTAGGTTAAGTTAAAACACAACCCTGCCTATACAAAACAAAAATACGTAATATCCCATACACAACAAACAATGTAAACACTGTAAATAAAATGTTAAATAATAAAGAATAATGAAAGTAATGAAAAAAATGGGATTTTAGTTATAGATTTTTGTCATGAATATATTGGGATCCTGTTTGTAAATGCAGGTGTTCATAAGTCGGGCGTTCAAAACTCGGAGACTGCCTGTATATAAAATGATAAAGGGTGGCCAGCAGGCAGTTACCATCTCCTGCTTCTTACCATTTAACAAGTAGTGTGTTACCCCACACTTTTAGCACGATGCTTTTCATCAAAGGTTTGTTATACCATTGGCAAGTGCACCTCATAGTGTACTCATTTGAAACAGTGATCTGGTTTCAGTGAAATAGGTTTTACCATCAAACCTGGTACATACCTATATGAAATAATGCATAACCTAAATCAGATACAATAATGATACAAAAAATCTGAAATTGAACTGTCATATTGGTCCTTAGACTGTCATCCCACCTCACCTGATTTAATTGTTTTAATATTATTTAAAATCACCTCTACTATTCTCTTAATATACAGCCAGTTCCACTAGTTATTCCTTTACATAAAGGTTCCAACAACTGAAAGTAGAATTTAATTTTTTAATTAAAATTTACATAAATATATTTCTCATTGATCTTTAAACTCTTAAAAATGAGATAGATTTTATTTGAAGGATCTCACTTAAAATCAGTAAAATTAGCCTAACAGCATCGTTTAAGGCTGATTTTGAATGACACTTTTTTGACAGGACGGGTACACCTAAGAATCAAAACTATTAAAAGCAGTGAGGAATATTTATAAAGATACAAAGAATTGAATTCTTAAACAAACTTGACAAACTAATAAAAATCATAAATCCCTCATCCCTAACAAGCTTTCATATACTGTACCAGGTATATACATTAATAGGAAAACAGAATTAGATTTATTTATTTTAGAAGTCTGACAAACTGCAATCCTCAAGTATATTTAAGAATTCAGTACTATGTGAGAGTAACAGTTCAGTACTACAGTACATAAAGGACAGATTCCTAAGATCATTTGCTTATCACAGGTTTCTATACTTAAATTAGACTACATTGACTGCAAAACCCTACTAATATTAATAACATAATTCTTCAAGACACCAAGAGCATCCTGACACTTACCATTGTTCATTTAAACAGTACGAATTAATATCTTCTTAATATACATAAAAGATAATTATATAATACTTATAATATAATGTGAACATTGGCTATTTATGCAAATAAGAAAAGTGATAGTGGTGACTCATTTTTGCTCATGGTAATACAGTGAAAATGTTCAATAGAGCATATTGGTGAGTTAAAAGGCAATTTAGTATACCCCTACTGTATGCAGTACCATATAAAGAATTTGCTGATCACAAAATTTACATTATACAGTATACATAGTAATATTTGTGGCAATTCAATATAATTGGTCTGTTACATCTAAATTGTGAAAAAAATAATAATCACTTACCTTGCAAAGGAAAGAAGAATGAATCTACCAACTTTCACGGAGGCCCCACTTGAAATACTTATATGATGATACCTACATGATTCATCACATGGAAAACATTTCTTAAAACTCATAAAATTCAGTATAAAGGCATGTACACACAATATAAAATTGTAATAACAGAATAAAGTCTGACATGAACGGCAAAAAATACCTTGAAAACCACAAAAAGAGGTAATCTGAATGATTCAATGATGTGTAAATTTACGAAACTATCAAAGATATAATACCTCAATGGGTTTTCACTTAAATCAACCATCAAGATAAATACAAAACTTACAAAGTGATCAAGATTACCATATGTTTTTACAAATCAAATTGTCAGTCAAAGATTAATTCTAATTCATCCCAACACTTCATTAGTTTTATAAGTATGAAGAGAAGTTACAAATAAGTTGTATGGATTCCATTCATCTTCTACTGACAATCTGAAACAAATTTGTAACAAGAAGAAGGTGACAGACTAACAAAGAAATTGTAATTCCTTTTAGAACTTTAGCTTATAATGGGCCTTCAATGAGACTGATCTTCATGGAGCAGTAGTACACCGTTCGGTATAAGCAAGCTAATGAGATGAGGAAGGCCACTGCAAGGAGACAAAAATCAGTAATTAGGAGTTACACAACAGCTATTTCACTGCATAAACCCTCATCATCCTTCTCTTCTCATAATTTAGACATGTGTTTGAAAACAATAACTAGAAACTTAACAATACACTAATTATATGTACAGTCGGCCCTTAACATACGCGGGTTTAGCATACACGGATTTGCAAATACGCAGATTGCCCCGCCGGAGGAATATTCTGTACATTGAAGTAATTGAAGTACATTCAAATCGCGCGCCATTCAACTCGCGGCACCGAACACGGGACACCGCCCGCTCCCGCAACCTCACACACACACACAGCTCTCCCTCACTCAGTCAATCTCGCTGTAACCACGCTTGTGTTGACATCAGCATTGTAGTTGCAAAAATATTACATTTCCGTGAATGTATTATATCAAGCACAGTATGAATAGAATATCACTAATACAGGTTGACAATCCCTTATCCGAAACCCTTGGGACCAGAGGCATTTCGGATTTCGGAATTTGTCGGTTTTCAGAGTTTTTTTTTTTTTTCATTAGCCCATCCGGGCACAAGTCACTGACCCACATTGGGGCCTGGGGAATATAATAATAATAATAATAATAATAATAATAATAATAATAATAATAATAATAATAATAATAATACAGGTAATAATAATAATTCATAGGTCTAGGTCGTGTTACTCACTTTTTATCTTTTTTCATTCTTGTATTTCTTTATTATTATTATTATTATTATTATTATTATTATTATTTTATTAATACAGTATTATTGTTATTATTATTTGATTTTGGTGTATTATTATTATAATTATTATTACTATTACATTTTTGCCCCCCAGGCCCCGATGTGGGTCAGTGATCTATGCGTGAGTGGGCTAATCCCTGTTAAAAAAAAAAAAATTGCTCCACAAAACAATTTCGGTTTACAGAGCTTTTCGGTTTTCGGAATTTCGGATAAAGGGTTGTCAACCTGAATAAGAGTATTTTAACCGAAATCTACTAAAAAAACGAGTAACATCTCTTGAACATTGGAAGGTTAGGTAAAGTCTTTTGTTTTCGTCATGTATTTTATCCTCTTTTACATTGAAATACATCACGTTTCAGCAAAACTACTATTTATTTTTGAGAATATATTCATTCAGGCACAGTTTAGGTAAAATATACATGTGCTGTAACATTTTTTTAATTGAAAACGATTCAAAAAACACGTACCCTCTAGCCCTGTTCAAGGAGAAGACTGGGAGGAGCTGTTTGGTGCTTAAGATGATGACAAGGAAAATGATTTTGATGGATTTTAATGAAAATATTCAGAAAGACCCTGGCACTGTCAAGGAAAGTGGCTGCTGAAAGCTTCCAGGACATGGCAGAGGACGAGATTAGGGAGCTAATTGAAGAGCACGACACTGAGCTGACCGAGGAGGATCTACAGCAGTTAGTAGACTCAGGCAAGGAAGAGGAAGAGGAAGCGAAAGGGAAAGAGGAAGAGGAAGAGCACCAAGAAATAACGTTGGAGAAGTTGGGGGAGATGACCAGGAATATTGAGGCACTGAAAAACCTGGCCTATAGTATGGACCCCTCCATGGTGCGTGCCCTGAAATTCATGCGAGGGATGGATGACGTTTTTGATCCATACAAAAATATCATGGAAGAAATGAAAAGAAAGAGACGACAACTCCCCATCACCATGTTCTTTGATCACCGAAGGAGAGATTTAACACCATCAATCACTGGCGGCAGTGAGAAAGCAGCTGAATCCACCGTCGCCCCCACTTCACCACCCGTTATGGAATTGAGTGACGATGAGCTCGATGACCCCTGTCCTGTCGCCGAGGATAGGCACGGTACAGTAAAGTGAAATTTGCTTTTCTTGCCATGTTTGTAAAAATGCACAGCACAGTACAGTTCAGTACTGTACATAGGAAGTGGAGGTGCAGTTATTCACAAAACATTTGTGTTTGTTGTCGGCAGTAGTGACGGTGAGGAGGTGGAGGACGGAGCGGAGGGAGCGAGTTGGGAGGAGTGGTGACCTTGGACGCGGGAGCAGGGACGAGTGGAGATGCCACCCAGTACATTACGGGTGTATTAATTGTTTTTATAGCTATTTTTGCATTTTAATATTAAATACTGTACATTACATTTCCACAAAACTACCATTTATTTCTGAGAACATGGAAATGTAATATTTTTGCTGAAATGATGTACGTATTACAGTGGAAAGTGGGATAAAATTGTGACGAAAGCAATGACTTTCTCTTTCTTTCGTTCAAAAGATGTTACCGTAATCGCTTTTCGAATGGTTTTCAGTTGTGGGATTATAAGGCTAATGATAGGAGAAGAATATTATTGTAATACAGTACGAGTACAACAGTTTTTAACTGAAAACCATTCGAAAAGCGATTACGGTAAAATCTTTTGAATAACGAAAGAAAGCGAAAGTCATTGTTTTCGTCATGATTTTATCCCACTTTCCACTGTAATATGTACGTCATTCCAGCAAAAATATTATATTTCCATATTTATTTCTGAGAATACGTATATTCATTCAGTCACAGTTAAGGTAAAATATACTTGTGATGTAATATTTTAATGAAAATACAGTATCGTAGTTTTCTTTTGTTTCAAATTTAATTAACAAAGATTAATGTTTCAAATGTAATGAACAAAAATTTATGTCCAGAATCTATTAATAAACTTTAATTAATGAATACTTTATGTTTTACATCGTCCTGTGCTACCATACCATGGATTTGGCTACTTTGGGCTTGCTATGATGACGCAAGAGATCTGCCCTGGCAACTGTACCGACACTCACAGCTGGTGGTGCGTTGGTGCATCGTTTCCATTGTTTACTGGTAGTTACTGGTAAATATTTTTCAACCTAACGAAACTATTGCTCGTTTAGAGGTCGACCCCCAATTTTTTGCCAAATTATTTGGTCTTAAAAACTCGAACTACACACAGGTATATATGGTAAATAAGGACATGTGGGGGCCAGGGTTTTTTTTTGGGGGTCAGCAAAAATACGCAGATTTTTAACATCCACGGGTATCTCTGTTACGTAACCCCCGCGTATGTTAAGGGCCGACTGTACTGTACAGTAACTGGACATTATTTTGGTTATATCAATTTGTTTTAGAGGTTAATGCATATTTCAGTATCCTTGTTATATTTAACACATCTTATTTTCTTTTTTTCTTTTTTTACGGGGGAATTGCCCACCCGGGCACAGGTCATGGACCCACATCAGGGCCTAGGGGGCAAAAAAATAAGAAAAAGAAATTAAAAATAGAAAAGGAAAAGCTTATATTAATCTATTTAATGCAGGTGTTAGCCAAGCTCCCCACCCCCTACACTTTGCGCTTTCCTCCCACTCCCTCACTGAGCCAACTAACTCGTGTGTAAAGAAATATATAAAGCTACTCCTCGACTTACGACCATCCGGACATAAGACCGCCCCAGTCGTACCAAAAAATTTTCAAATTACGTACTTTCGAGTCCCGACGTTAGTGATTGCGCTGTGTACTGACAAAATTTTCGTTTGTAATTCCCTTTAAAATGGCTGGCAAGCTTAAAAGTGAGAGTTTTGTGGTGCTGATAAGAAAAAGAGACACCCATTTTAGATTTTCTATGTATTATCTTCGCATTTTCGACTTACGACCTGGATTTGGGTCCCTAACCCCGTGTAAGTCGAGGAGTGGCTGTATTCCCTTTACGTGTTTAACCTTAGGACAATTATTTCTTTTACTCTTTTCACAATATGTATATAGGATGGTGTGTGCATGTAACTGAGTAAAAATAAATGAAGAAAGTTACGTATATCTACTTGAAAATACGAGTTGAAAAACAACCATAACACCTCACAGTAGCCTGGTGGTTACAATGTTGAGCTAACCTCGCTACAATGCCATGATTAATCACTATTAAACACTATTCTATCACTAAACACTAATAATAACTGTAAATCCAGTGAAATGTGGCAGGGAGTGAGGAGAGTTACAACTGCAAACACTGCGCTAACTATCAGTCACTCACTCCCCTTACACGCTCCCATTGCCAGGCGTAAGTATGGGAGAAATACATGACCTTTTTCTCTTCACTTGTTTGGGCACCTTCCCACAGCTGGAAGAAGTGGTTGAGGGCACTTGGGAGCCATTACAAGCACAAGGAGCACAGTTGTTAATAGAGCAGAGTAGCACACACGCAAAACAGACAAGTGTTTAACCCGGACTGTCACTGAGGGAAAGTGAGCTCACATGGCCCAGCCACCTGGGACAAGAGAGATGCCTTGAGGGATGCCATAAAACTCGCGGGCTCCCCGTCCCAGCCGTGAAAATGCTGTGTACTTTAAAACTACCTGCAGACATTCTTGGTTATATCCAGGCAGTCATCCGCGAATAATCGAAGGCCGTGAATTAAAAATACGTGAATTGTAAGGGCATGCTGTATTATACAGTACTGTACTCCAGTACAGTCGTATCGCATCTTACGTTGGGGTTACATTCTGAAGAGGGAGCATAAAGCCAAAAAAGTGCATAGTCAAAATTATCCTTGAAAATCCCTTAAATCATCCATAAAGTACATTGTTATATATACGTCAATAGCACATCTGACAACTCTGCTGGTTAGGTCTATTTCAGTTTAAATGTGAAGCACACACATAATATGCCCAAAAAATTATAAAATAATTATCATAAGGTCAAAAACATAAAGGGGAATTAATCATTATGTATGTAGAAGCAAGCACTGAGGGTGGGAGGGAGAGAGCTACAGCTGGCATTTCCTCACTCATTGCCTCTGCTCTCACCATCTCTTGCTGAATGGCAACGCAGTACAGTAATACAGTATCTCCGTTAGCTGGAATCCGTCAAACCCGGAACTCTCCAATAGCCGGAATAGAAATTTGCTCAAAATTTTTCTGGAAAATTCCCAAAATTCTGGGTTTGGGAACATTTTCTGAATAAAAAAAAATCTGGAAAATGTGTCAAAAGTT